AATTTTCCAACTACCAGTGATTCTTCTTTGTTTCCAACTTTTGCATTCCAGTCACCAGTGATAATTAACACATCCTGATTGCATGTTCAGTCAATTTCAGACTGCAGAAGTTGATAAAATTCCTCAATTTCCTCATCTTTGGCTTTGGTGGTTGGGGCATAAATTTGAATGATAGAGAAAAGAGGTAGAGTAGGAGAATAATCAAGAAAAGTGGGAGAAATGCATAAAGAAAAACAATGAATGGTGAGTACCATGAGAAAGAAAAAAATGGGAACCAGGAACATGGAAGAGAGAAAAAGCTGAAAACTAGAAACAGGGAAGGGAAGAATAAAGAATAATAACAAAAAATATGAAAAAGAAATTAACAATTTTAAAACAGACAAAAACAAACAAACTGGGCAAAAAGGAAAAATAATCTGGGTGGGGCAAGGTGCCCTGGCTCTGTGGGAACACACAGACTGGGATGGAATTCCTGCCAGCCCAGAAGGTGGGTGGGAGTGAGGGATGGCCACACCTCTATTCACCAAGAGGGTGTGGGGTATGAGAGCAACAAGGAGAACACCTTTCCAGTCCAGAATGTCCTTGCAGTGCCCGGCAAGTGGGAGCCTATTCTTAGGTCCCTGGAATCTGAGAGAACACTGTGGCTTTAAATATCCAAAATGGTTGAACCACTTGTAATCATTCAAAATGGCTGCACCCTCCATACAGCCAAAAGTCCATGGCTAAGCCCGTCTCCCTCTTTGCTGCTTTCCCTTTTATTCAGCAGCCACCAGTGCAGTCCTCCATGCAGCCCCTGGCTAGCAGGGCCAATTTTTAGGTTAATTCTTAGGTCCTAACACTACTTGGCAATATCCAAGCTGCCCACGCCATCAGCATTGCTGACAGATAGCAGCTCCATATGTCTCCTTTTTCAGTATTTTCATGCAAGTTCTTCTACTAGTTGGACTTTAGTCTACTTCTGTATCCTTGCTTTCATAGCTCAGGGCTCCAGTCTTATCTTCTGTATCTGTGTTAATTGGTTCCTCTTTTCTTTGTTGAAGAGGGTCTGTGTATTTTTTCTGCCTATTCTGCCATCTTATCTAATCTTATGAGTTGCTGTTGTTGATTTGATCCTATATTCATAGATCTTGAAAGAGTATAATGCTCAAGGCAGACATTCTTTACTAGTTAAGCTAAACTACTATTTGGTTTGAAGAAGATGTCTGGGGATATTTTTGATTTAAGGTTTAAAGATTATCTCAAGGAAATAGTTTTTGGGTTTTATCCAGCCTCCATGGCTCTAGAAAGTCTAGATTCCATTGGAATTTGAAATTATCTTCTCTATTTCCCCCTTTTTGATCAAGATTCCTCTACAGAATATTTGAGCAAAATATTCAATAATGGTAGGTGGGTACTATCCAGTTCTTCTAGCTTCATGGCAAAGGAAGAAATTATTCATGGAGTCAATTAGCCACTCGTTCTATGTCCACCTCCACTTTCTGACTGTCCTTCTTTCTCTGTTGATTCAGACAAATGAAGACCAAACTTAATTTAAATATCAGAATTGTCAAGTCTTCTCTGAATGAGGGAGAATTTTGCTGTAAAGGTGAAGGTATTTCCAGTCATAAAATCTCATAAGTTTTCATAATTCATCAGGTAATGAACTAGGCTCTGGAGAAAGGGTAGTTAGAGGAGGGTTATTAGTAGAATACATGGACTACAGAGGATGCTTTGCCAGCAATGTCCACCATTTGTTGATGACGTACTATGTGCAGGGTCCTTGGGAGCACCGATCTGTTGGTCTATTCATTGGTGATGATGGATTTTCCATCATTGTAGTTGCCAATATTCTTTCTTCTCTGACCTAGGAAGACCTAGGAGGGAAATGGGAGGACTTGGGCCCTACCCTTATTTTTGAGCAAAAGTGAAGACATCTTATGGGTGGAATGGTCTTTGGCAGGTGGACTACAATGCAAGTGCCTGGCTGACCAAGAACATGGACCCACTGAATGACAATGTGACTTCACTCCTCAACGCCTCCTCAGACAAGTTTGTAGCTGACCTGTGGAAGGACGGTGAGGTTCTCCCTGCTCTGGGTGCTGTTTTGATCAAAAGAACCAAGCACCTGGTCTTCTATCTCCTTCTAGCTGCTGCCAATTCCCATACTTACTCCTAGGAGGTGGGTGCGAGAAAAGGGCAATGATGGCAAGTAACACTTTTTTGAAACATTCAACCACGTACTTCCCTGAATGGTGCCCCCTGAGTTCCTCAGCCCTACACCTGAACCCTCAGGGAGAATGTCCTGAGGTCAGGGCTCAGGCTGTACATGGTGGAAACACAGTGTACTAGGAATAGTGATTTAGAGTGCTCTGATTCAAGAGTTGGAAAAACTTTAGGTCTTGTCTCTGTCACTTACTTGCTGTGTGATCTTGGACAAGTCATTTAACTTCATTAAGCTTCAGTGTCCTCATTAGTAAAATTGAATAAACAATAATAGTTCCTACCTCTCCTAAGATTATTGTTAGGGTTAAATTAGACCTCTGGTGTTCAAACTTGGGTGCACATCAGAGTCACCTGGAGGGCTTATTAAACACAGATCACTGGTCCTTATCCTCCAGAGGTTCTCATTCTGTCAGTCTGGGTAGGGCCTGAGAATGTGCATTTCTAATAAGCTCCCAGGGTGATGCTAATGCTGCTGGTCTGGGGACTTCACTTTGGTACACTCTGAGACCCAGTGAATAGATAATCCATGTGAAGTACTTAGCCCCTGCCTGGCCCATAGTAAGTCTCAATATTGGCTGCTGGAATGATGGTTTGGCTTGGGGTTTGCTCATTTTATTCATGGCCATCTTTGTCCATAGCAGGTTTTCTTTTTCTTGCCACAGAGGGCATGGCCCTTGTTTTAAACATGGTAGAAAATGCTTCAGGGAGGGGTCAGCTATGCCAAGATTTACTGAGTACCAACCACATGCCAGACCCTGGGACTAGGAGACTGCATCTCACCTTAGTCTTCTTCACCCCTGGGATTCATGAAGCAGTCACCAAGACCCTTCTCTCAAGAATCCCACAGTCTTGTGGGAGAGACAGACAAGCAAAGAGATGATAACATGGAACTTACAGATGCAATTCAGTACAAGGGGCAGAAATGGTGCAGCCCCAATGCAAGTAGGTTGGGCTTGGTACATGCAGCATCAGCTGGGCTAGTGAGAGTCTCTGATTCGTCTGAAAGAAAAAGAATCCCTGTATTAATAATAGAAGGAGCCCCTTGTTAAGCGCTCAGCTGCTTACTGAAAAGTTGATGGTTCAAACCTACCAGCCACTCCACAGGAGAAAGATGTGACAATCTTCTTCCATAAAGATTATAAAAAAACAAACCCACTGCCATTGAGTCAATTCTGACCTTTTAGGACTTTAGGAGTAGAACTGCCCCATAGCGTTTCCAAGGCTGTGAATCTTTATGGAAGCAGACTGCCTCATCTTTCTTCTGTGGAGCAGCTGGTGGGTTCAAACCACAGAATTTTTGACTAAAAGCTGAATGCTTTTAGCCACTATGCCACAGCGTGGGAAACCCCATGGGGCAGTTCTACTTTGTCCTGTAGGGTCACTATGAGTCACAATTGACTCGATGGTAATGGGTTTGGTTTTGGTTTGGTAGTAATAATGGAATCTCTGGGTACAAATGGTTAATATGCTCACTGTTAAACAAAGGGTTGGTAGTTAACCAAAGAGTTAGTAGTTTGAGTCCACCCAGAGGAAATTTAGAAGAAAGGCCTGATGATCTACTTCTGAAAAATCAATCTTTAAAAACCTTAGAGAAAGCAGTTTTATTCTCACACACCATGGGGTCACCATGAGTTATAGTCAACAGCAACTAAAATAGGGTTGAGCAATTACTCATGGGATTCCAGTTTCCTACTTTGAATGTTTGCATTATACCTTCTCCTGGGACATACTTTCCCTGTATGTGTCTCCGTGGTCACTCCTCACTTCCTTCAGTCCTCAGCTCAAATAGCAATTTATCAAGACTCTCTTTTCCCTTTCTCCTGCTTTATTTTTTTTTAACTACCTCTTAACACCTAGGATATTTTATACTTATATATAGGCTTATTATCCATCTGCTTCCATCAGAATAGCCTAGACCCTGGGAGCAGAGGGCAAGGTATCCTAAAGGCTTGGAGCATGGTAGGTCTAAATAAATATTTGTTGTGGGATAAAAGATTGAGGGCTGGCAGGGAGGTAAGTGCTTTCCATGCCTTACTCACTTTTTCCTATTCTATGTGGTGAATACTGTCATTACCTCCATTATGTAGATGAAGAGACTGAGAGAACATGACCTAGTGATTCCATGGCCAGAGCAGAGTTTGCTCCAGGTCTCCTCCACTCATGAGCTCTTCCAAATAGACAATACTGGGAAACATCCTCCCCTTTCCCAACATACCCATGTGGTAGAGACAAAAGCACTGTCTGGGAGAGGAAAGATGGGAGCTGGTGCCTACCAAGAAAAACTAGGACCTGGGCCCTCCCAGAGAAGGTTCTCTTCACAGGAGTCTTCACTCACCCACCCTCTTTGGACCTGGTTCTCTGGCCTGTTGTGGGGGCTAAGGGCCCCAGAGGGCTGACGCCACTCTTCATGTTCCCATAGTGGACCGCATCGTGGGGCTAGACCAGATGGCCAAGATGACAGAGAGCTCACTGCCCAGTGCCTCCAAGACCAAGAAAGGCATGTTCCGTACAGTGGGACAGCTCTACAAGGAGCAGCTTGGGAAGCTGATGACCACACTGCGCAACACCACACCCAACTTTGTGCGCTGCATCATCCCCAACCATGAGAAGAGAGTGAGTCGGTTCAACCCTCAGGACTCTGAGTTCTAGATAGGGCTGTCTGGATTGGTCAGAATGTCCTCCTGTGGAACAAAGGAGGGGCTCTAGGTGCATCAGGGGACTGGGGGAAAGGAGCCCTGGAGGCACTGAGGCAGATCATGGGTAGAGGGACAGAATGAGAAGAAGCTTGACTCTTGGATGGAAGGTTATTCGAAGCTGATTCCCATTCCCTGGAGTCCCAGAATTGTGGAACAGTTAAGTGCTGGGCTACTAACTAAAAGGTGAAGCACAGTTCTGCTCTAAAACTCATAGTTCACTATGAGGCAGAATTGATGCTACAGCAACTTGTTTGGTTTGGTCTCCCTGCTTCCTGGAAGCAGGAGAAGGCAAGGGAGGAAGGGAAAATGTATCCAGGAACTGTTTTAGCCATGAGTTGTTATCAAGGGTACCAAGTCACCATTCACTCATTATTCTAGTAAATGTTTACTGAACTCCTACTTGTGCCATGTGCTGGGGATACAGTGCTAGATAAGTTGTAGACCTGGCCTGCAGGTTTCTCATAATGTAGTTCAAGAGTTCTCAACTAGGGGTAACTGTGCCCCTCCAGGAGATATTTGACAATGTCTGTAGACATTTTTGATTGTCACACTGTGTAGAGGGTACTCCTGGCATCTTGGGAGTAGAGGCGAAAGATGCTGGTAAACATCCTACAATGCACAGGAAAGCTCCCATCACAAAGAAATGTCTGGTCCAAGAAGTCAATAGTGCTGAGATTGTGAAACTGGTCTTGTTGGAGAGGTAGACACACAAGCTGAGAACCATGATGCAATGGGATAAATAGTGAGAACACCAAGGAGCCGGGGCTCTTACCTCAGCGTTAGGGATCAGAGAAAACTTCTTAGACAATGTGAACTTTAGACAATAAGTAGGCATCAAAACTTGGTGAAGTGGAAGATAGAATGGGAATGATATCTTAGAGAGGCCAAGAGAAGCAAAAGTGTGATGATAAGAGTGGCATAGTGCCTAAGGCATTTGATTTCTAACTAGAAGGCTGGTGGTTGAAACCCACCAGCCACTCCTTGGAAGGAAGACTGGGCAATCTACTTCTGTAGGGATATCACCTTGTAAACCCAAGGGCGGGGGGTGGGGGTCGCCATGAGTTGGAGTGGACTCAATGGCAGTGAATTTGGTTTTTGGTTTTGTATGTAAGAAAATGGGAGCTCTGGTAGCATAGTGGCTAAGACACTTGCCTGCTCACCAGAAGGCTGGCGGTTTAAACCCACCAGCCACTCCTCGGAAGGAAGGTTGGGCAATCCTACTTCCGTAGTGATACTGCCTCAGAAACCCAAGGAGGAGTCGCTATGAGTCAGGGCTGACTTGACGGCACATAACAACAACAACAATGTAAGAAAATATTGGGTAGGTATTTTCATGTTGTTGACATGTAATGATGTGAGGCAGGGAGTACCGAGAAATGAAGCCAAATGGGGAGGCAGGAACTAGATCATGGAGTCCCTTTTGTACTTACCAGAGTTTGGCTTTCATTCTGTAGGGATGCCACTGGGGAGACACCCCTGGGTGGTGCAGATGGTTAATGTACTTTACTTATTAACTGAAAGGTTGGAGGTTTGAGTCCACCCAGAGGCTCCTTGGAAGGAAGGCCTGGTGATCTATTTCTGAAAACTCAGCCATTGAAGACCCTATGGAGCCTAGTTCTACCAACTCAACAACAACTGGTTTTTAGGTCATGGTAGATTCACATTTTAGAAACAGAATAAGAGGATGGACTGGAAAGGCAGGACTGGGAATGGAAGACCAGCTAGAAAGTTGCCGAAGTTGTCTTAGCTAGAGAAGATGGTGTTGTATGGATGAGGATGAACAGATGCATGTAGATTTGGAGATATTTGGGAAGTAGAAGTTATAGAAGATGATGGAAGAGGGAAAGGGAGGTGACCAGGATGAAGCCCCAGTCTCTAGCCAGGTGATGGCTAGTTCCATCAAGTGCAAGAGAGACCATGGGGCAAAGGGTCCCAGTTAAAACGATTGGAAACCCAGAAAAAGTACACTACTTTGTCCCTTACCCCTCAGCTGAGACTTCACCTGGTGCCTTTGTTAATACTCATGCTGACCTGGCAAAGTTAGCTATCCATGACTGAGATATGAAGCTTGTTGCTTCTGGGTCCTAGCCCCAGTGATGATTGCCGCTTTTTGCCATCACAGTCCGGCAAGCTGGATGCATTTCTGGTACTGGAGCAATTACGGTGCAATGGGGTGCTGGAAGGCATCCGGATCTGTCGTCAGGGCTTCCCTAACAGGATTGTCTTCCAGGAGTTCCGCCAACGGTAAGCACATTGGGGCCAGTGCAGGTGGGGCAGTGGGTGAGTAGGGCTGGGTGGAGGGACGAATGATGAAGATGTGATTGGTGATTTCTGTCCTGTGTTTCAAGCTATGAGATCCTGGCAGCGAATGCCATTCCAAAAGGCTTCATGGATGGGAAGCAGGCCTGCATTCTCATGGTGAGTCCATCCAGCTTCTAGGCAGGGGTAGATTATGGTCAAGGAACCTGGTGGCACAATGGTTAAGCACTCAGCTACTAACCAAAAGTTCAGCAGTTTGAACCTACTAGTAGCTCCTTGGGAGAGAGGGCCTGGTGATCTGCTCCTGTAATGCTTATAGCCTAGGAAACCCCAGGAAACGTGGTGCAGTTCTATTATGTCGCACAGGGTCCCTATGAGTTGAAATCAACTTGATGTACACAATATAGTCAGATTCACATTTTAGAAATAGAAAGAAGGGCTAGACTGCAGAAGCAGGATTAGAGGTAGAAGACCAGGTAGGAGGTTTTGAGGTTGTCAGTGCTAAAGAAGATGGTGATGCATGGATGGTCGTTATGATGGGGATGAAGAGATGTAAGTGCCCCAGCCTCTGGATACTCTGCCAGCAGTTGTTTGTGGTGGGACCACTGCCCAAATGACAGAGCTAAAAACAGGAAATTTCCTCCTACTTCCTTCTGCAGATCAAAGCCCTAGAACTCGATCCCAACTTGTATAGGATTGGGCAGAGCAAAATCTTTTTCCGAACTGGGGTTCTGGCCCACCTGGAAGAGGAGAGAGACTTGAAGATCACGGATGTCATCATGGCGTTCCAAGCGATGTGTCGTGGCTACCTGGCCAGAAAGTAAAGACCATCCCCTTAACACCTCCCTAAACACACACAGACCAGAAACACCAGAACTATTCATGAGGAGGTTTCTTGCATATATTCTGACTCCCTGATTCTAAGAGGTCATCTATTATTAGACGCATTATGGATTGAATGGCAGCTTTTCCTTGAGGTGGAGAAGAGCATCACCACTTTAAATATATGCCTGAGTTATGAGTGCAGGACAGGGAAGAAGTTCAAACCTATGGGCTCTGGAGTTTTAAACCAGGATTCTTCCCCTGGCCCCTCACTTATTTACTGATGGACTGTGGGAAAGTTACAGCACCCTCTGAGCCTCAGGTCCCCTTACTGTAAAATGAGCATGATCATTTCTCCTCCTTGGAGTTGGTTATGAGAAGCTGTTCTGGTTACCTAGTGCTACTCTGACAAGGATAAACCACAAATGGGATAGCTAAACATACAGGAGTTTATTCTCTTACAGTTTGGAGGCTTTAAGTCCAAGTTCAAAGTGCCAGACTCTAGGGGCTGAGTGAAAGCCCCTCGACCTTGGGCTTCAGCTCTGCCTCTTGCTCCCGGCCCACTGAAGCTAGAGGCATCTCTGCACTCAGACAGCTACTGGCTGGTGAGGCTAACAAGCCCAAGGTCGACAAATAAAACGGTACAGTCCAGATGTTACCAAACCACACAGCAGGCCATTAACTTAAGTCCATTGTAAGTCCCAAGACTGGCAGAGCATGGCAGGCTGAACAACAACATGGCTACATGCAGAGTCCAAGCGTGCCGTAAGCTAGAGACCATTCCCCAAGTCTTCTCCTTATACACAGGAAGCAGACCACATTCCCTAAGGCACCTACTCAGCTGCTCACAGTAGATTCCACCATGGAGTTGATTACCAGTCTCATCATGGGGAATACTACATCCAGCTGCCCAGCCACTCAACCAGGCCCAGCCAAGTTGACACACAAACTGAACTACCATAGAAGCCAATGAGATCATGCATGAAAAGGGCTTAGAACAATGTCTGGTTATCTTTTCTGAAATGCTGGAATATAAAACCAATCTTAAAAGATAGTATTTATCTGTATCTATATCCCCATAAGGAGCTCTGGTAGCGTAGTGCCTAAGGCACTTAACTGCTAACTAGAAGGCTGGCGGTTCAAACCCACCAGCCACTCCTTGGAAGAAAGGTTGGGCAATCTACTTCCATAGTGATACTGTCTCAGCAACCCAAGAAGGGGTCGCTATGAGTCGGGGCTGACTCGATGGCACACAACAACAACAACAACAACAACATATCCCCATAACCAAATCGGATTCATGCATATGGCAGGGTTTTAGAAGATATACTTCCCCTTCTGTTTTGTTAAGGCTTAGAGCTGGGTGAGGGCTAAGGTTTCTAGATGAAAAGTGCATCCCAAAGAAAACTTTGGGGCTGGGAGACTACTCTTGTCTGGAGAGCTTACTATCCTTAGGTATAGGCCACATACCTCATCTGCCCTGATTGTGTCAAGCTGATTATCTGTGAAGTAGACCCCAGTTGATGAAAGCCAGATTTGTGGAGCTTTTGGTCCAGAAACAGACCTAAGTTGTTACGTTTCACATGTAAATTATCTGTTGTTTTCTCTCCTACCTTCAAACTATCTGATCACCTACGTCTAAGATGGCCCCCCTAAGATGGCCACCAAGATGGCAAGAGGATCATGGTCAGAGTTCCATGGTTTCTCAAACTCAGTAGTCCTTAAACAGGAAGAGCACTTGTTCCATATCAGGATCTCCACTTTGAGACTCCTAAACACAACCTTGGAAAGAATAAGTTTGTCAGAAACTGAGTTTTAGGGAAGGCATGGCACAGCTAGGGGTGTAGGAATCCTCCTTAGGAATGATATAGCCCAGATTAATTTCCTAGATATTGTTTGGATCACAGCTGTGATCCAGGGCATTGTATTGAGCCTTATGTCTTCCTTGTCCACTGAGAAAGGCTCTTGCCTCCAGATGATATAAGTGGTCTGTACCTACACAGTATACTTGTGCTGATGCTCAGGGTTCCTGGAAGAATCTGAGCTAGATGGAATGGGGAGTATCCTTGTGCAAGTCCCAAAACTATAAGCCAAACAGAAGAGGTTTTGTTTGAGGATGCTAACAGGAAGGATGCTGTGGACGATAGGGATTGTGGACAATGGGAGTGTGGACAACAGGGAATATGGATAATAGGGAGTGTGGGCAGTGGGGAGTGTGGGGGACAGAAATGTGGACAGTGGGGAGTGTGGATGACAGGAGTATGGATGACAGGAGTGTCGCCAACAGGACTGTGGACAGTGGGGAGTGTGGACAATGGGAGTGTGAACGGTGGGAAATGTGGACAGGACTGTAGACAGTGGGGGGTGTTGGTAATGGGAGTGTGGGGGACAGGAGTGTAGACAGTGAGGAGTGTGGGTGATAGGAGTGTGGACAGTGGGGAGTGTAGAGGATGAGAAGGTAAATAGTGGGGAGTGTGGACAGTGGGGAGTGTGGGGGGCAGGAGTGTAGACAGTGGGGAGTGTAGACAGTGTGGAGTGTGGACAGTTGAGAGTGTGGACAATGGGGATTGTGGAGGATGGAAGGGTAAATAATGAGGAGTGTAAGCAGTGGGGAGTGTGTGGGACAGGAGTGTAGACAGCAGGGTGTGTGGACGATGGGAGTGCAGACAGTGGAGAGTGTAGATGATGGGAATGTGGACATTAGGGAGTGTAGGAGACAGGATTGTAGACAGTAGGGTGTATGGATGATGGGAGTGTGGACACTGGGGAGCGTGGGTGATGAGAGCATGGACTATAGGCACGTGGGCCACAAGAGTATGTTGGACAGGTCTGGCGGCTAGCCTTGGCTCTGGCTTCTCAGGGCTCTCTTTCCCCTCTCAGGGCCTTTGCCAAACGGCAGCAACAGCTGACAGCCATGAAGGTGATCCAGAGGAACTGTGCCGCCTACCTCAAGCTGCGGAACTGGCAATGGTGGAGACTCTTCACCAAAGTGAGTGCTCCTGGCCGAGAAGTGGGGCCTGGGCTCACCTGCCTTCTCAGAGGCTGCACTATCTCCTCCCACCTCCATCCTGAGTCTTCACTCCACATACTCCAGATGTGGGACTGGACATGGTAGAAAATCAAAGTGCAACCAAGGGCTTGGAAAAAATCCTTCCCCTTGGTGATCTCCAAGCCTGAGCAGGCCTTTGTCTTTGGCACATGGTAGAGCTGAGGCTTAACACGGATCCAGAGCATTTCTAGAACTGCAAAGACCCCTCAAGTTGCCCTTTTATAGCCATACTCACTTCCCACCTGCTCTGACCACCTCCTTAACTTGTGGCCACCATTTATATAATTTTGTCAAATCTTATGTAAATGGAATCATACAGTATGATAACTTTTGGGATTGGCTTTCTTCACTCAGTACAGGTCTCTGGAGACTGATCCAGGTTATTGCATGTATTAATACTTCCTTTTTATAGGAAGAGGAAAAGACTCTTTTGTGTGTGTGTGTGTGTGATTTGGGTGAAGATTTACAGAGCAAATTCACTTTCCATACAACAGTTCACGTATACTTTGTCTCATGTCATTGACCACAGTTTACCACAATGCAATAGCTCCCCTCCCACTTCCTCCCCATAGTTACCTCTTCCCAGTGTCCATCCCTCCATACTCTCCTGCCCCCTGAGATGTCTCCCTGTGCATAAGCAGCCCTTCCTTCTCCCATGATTGTTCTCTCCAGGGCGAGGTAAATGTTTAACTCACAGCCTGTACTTTGTTTGGCTGGAAACCACAGTTGTGGGTTCAATTCCAGACCTGAAGGGCAGCTAGGGGCCATAGTCTCAGTGGTGAGGAAAAGACTTTTGAGTACAATTTTTTCTACAGTGTCACTGGTTGTAACATGCCAACTGCACAAAGACATACTCTGTTGCAAGAGACTGCCTTCCTTTTATGTGTCCTTTGGTGTGTAAATTGGCACACACTTTATCATTGAACAAATGTTTGTTGAGTGCCTTTTGTGTGCCAGGTAAGCACCAGGCACTGGAGAGACACCAGAATATGACACTGTGGTGTCTGCCTTCATGAATATTTTAGTCAATGGAGGAGCAGAAAATAAAGTCACAGAAGTAAACACTCATGGCAAACAGTGCTAAGTGCATGAAGGAAGCCACAAATATGTAGCAAAGGGGCCCCCTGTGCCAGTAGGGGCCTGAACACATAGAACCAGGAGTCAGCTCAGAGGGAGTTAGTGGGGGAAGATGTTTTTTAGAAATGGTCATTCCATTTGACCTAACCCCTGGAAAACTATCCTAAGAAAACCATCATAAATAAAGAAAATCAGGAATTAAGGAGCTCTAGTGGCGTAGTTCCTAAGGCATTTGACTGCTAACCCGAAGGCTGGTGGTTCCAACCCACCAGCCACTCCTCGGAAGGAAGGTGGGGCAATCTACTTCCGTAGTGATACTGCCTTGGAAACCCAAGGAGGGGTCACTGTGAGTCAGATCCGACTTGAAGCAGTGAGTGAGTTTTAGTTATCATGGCCTTGGGAGACCCTGGATGGTGCAAATGGTTAATGTGTTCAGCTGCTAACCAAAAGGTTGGAGATTTCAGTCCACCCAGAGGCACCTCAGAAGAAACAGCTGGAAATCTACTTCCCAAACCTCAGCCACTGAAAATCCTGTGGAGTACAGTTCTATTCTGTGACACATGGGTCCCACAAGTTGGTATTGACTTGATGGCAACTGGTTATCATGGCCTTCTTTACAGTAGCAAAATTTCAATGGCAAGCCCTAGCAAAGTGAAGCAATAATGGCTCATTGATTTTTCATTATTTTTTAACTATTAAGAATGATGGCTATCTTAAAAAGAAAAGGTTATAAAAACAGTGTAACGACATGGGGTAATATCTTGAAAAAAGGCATGTAAAATTGGGCAGTATGATCTCAAGTATATTTTTAAGATGTGTAAGAAAAAAGACTGGAAGGTAATGGTAAAAACACCAGTACTGACTTTGATAAAGAGGTAGGGGTGTAAGGAATTTTTTCTTTCTTTGGAAGGAAGCATATCAATTTGCCAGCGGTAGTTCTCTTGGGATGGGATTAAAAGAGCAAGGATGGGCTTTCTCCTCTCACTTTGTACATTTTTATGGTCATTTTTGTGCAGGCACCGTTAACTACTGACACATGAGCCTGGCTCATTCTTTGTTGTGGGGGCTGTCTTGTTCATTGCAGATTAAATATCTCTGAAGCATCTCTGGACTCTACAACTAGATGCTAGTAGCCCTTCCTCCCATACATAGTTGTGAAAACCAAAATTGTCCCCAGACATTGCCAAATGTCCCCTGGGGAAAAAAATTGTCATTCATTGTGAACTACTGCTCTGATTGATCACAATGAGAGTGTTTTCCTTTTGCCATCAAAACCAATGATGGCCTGGCCGTGTGTGTGCAGGTGAAGCCACTGCTGCAGGTGACACGGCAGGAGGAGGAGATGCAGGCCAAGGAGGATGAGTTGCAGAAGATCAAGGAGCGGCAGCAGAAGACAGAATGTGAGCTCAAGGAACTGGAGCAGAAGCACACACAGGTGCCCGGGCTGGGAGCAGGGGTGGGGTGGGGAAGGAGGCTATGCCCTCGGCCCCTGTGGGCTCACTGGGCTCCTGTCCCGTGCAGCTTGCTGAGGAGAAGAACCTGCTACAGGAGCAGCTGCAGGCAGAGACGGAGCTGTACGCAGAAGCTGAAGAGATGCGGGTCCGACTGGCAGCCAAGAAGCAGGAGCTGGAGGAGATCCTGCACGAGATGGAGGCCCGCCTGGAGGAAGAGGAGGACCGGGGCCAGCAGCTACAGGCTGAAAAGAAGAAAATGGCCCAGCAGATGCTGGTAAGGCATTGGGAGGGCTACCCTCACTGAAGATCTGTGGGGTGGGCTGAAGGATATGCGTCCGCATGGGACAGATGAAGAGACCAAGGCTTAGAGAGGGAAAGCTGTTTGCCTGAGGCCTTAATGAGAGATAGATTTGAACAGAGGTCTCCAGTGGAGCCCACCCTGCTCTGCTGTCCTGCTTGTCATGAGCTAACACCCTTTCCCTTCATAGCAGCTCTGTCTGGGTAAGGGTACTTGTGTTAGTCATTTTGAACTGAGATACAAAACACCTAAAACTTGGCTTAAAACAATACACATTTATTACCTTAACACAGTTCCTATGGGTCAGGAATTTGGGAACAGCTTAGCTGGGTAGTTGTGGCTCAGGATCTCTTGTGAGGTTGCAGTCAAGATGTTGGCAGGGCTGCAGTTATCTGAAGACTTGACTGGGGCTTGAGGATCTACTTCCACTATGCTCAGCTCACATGGCTGTTGGCAGGAGGCCTCAGTTTCTCACCATGTGGAGTTCCATAGAGCTGCTTGGGTGTCCTCACGACAAGACAGCTGATTCCCCCTATAAGCCAAACCATGTGGAGAGAGAGAGA